AGAATGTTATTGTTCAACACATTCAATGGTTACTCACTGTGATGAACAGAGGCCCTTCCTGTCCTGCTGGTTCCTCCTCAAACTGGCTTCAAACTGCTTCTTCACTCTGATACTCAAACTAAACCTTTGCCCAGTGTCACTTCTCACTCTTCTCATACAAGTCTCTTGCTCTGAGCACCCGACTACTGGGCCTAAGCTCCAGGATCTGTGTGTGCTAGGCTCAGGAGTCCCATCTCAACCTTTGTCTCAGCCAGGGCATCACTCTCTCCTGGGAACCTCTAAAGCATGCTGTTTGTTCTATCCTGATTCTACCTCCCACCTCCCTTTACCCTCCTGGACGTAAGCTTCTTGAGGACTTAATCTTGTGACACCTCACGCATTGCCATGGCCACTGCTGCTAATGCCTGGTACATTTCCACGAACCAGCAGTCCTTTCTAGACAAGACCATCTGCATATCAATCTACCTTCCCTATGCTGGTCCATTTTCAGAGTCCAGGTTCTACAGTTCCACTACATTTCCAAGGATGCTAAAATCACTTACTACAAAATTAAGCAGATTTCATGAAGCAAAATACAGATAATGTGAGGTGTTCAGAGTCTAACCCTTAAGGAGAAATGGAAAAGATAAAGAAATGGGCAACTGACAAACACAAGATACTTCCCAGGAAACAACCAGTGTGGAGGGACCCACATCGACAGTGAAATGACCTAGAAACACAAACGAAGACTGGTCCGTTTCATTAAGGTTGGCAGTGAATATGATGTATCGCATTGTGGTTAACTCCACTGAACAGCTCAAATAGGCCCCCACACCATCAGCCTCTCCTCTCTGCCCTTTCTGTCTGGAGCACTGAGGAGGAGAAAGCAACTTTTATTTGCAAGGCTGCTTGTAATATTTTCGGCCTCCCATAGCCTCCTTCTCATGTCTCGCATATGCTGTAGTTTACTGCAGTTCATTTTATGCCCAAGGCTAGTTTATTAAGGACTGAATTGGAATTTTCCACAGTAACTGCAATATAAACTTCGACTAGCATTTTGCCATGCTGTTAGGATTTTTCAAAAGTTTCTTCACCCTTGTTGTGGCTGTCACAGTCTAACTCAGGTGAATGAACAATATGCAAATATGATCCTCTCTCTGGACTTTTCTTGCTCAGACTTCCTAACAGCAAGATGACATGGTAAAGAGAGCATGTCTGTGGATGTATAATGCTTTGAATAATCAGTTCAACACTCTCGAAAAGCAATATTCACAAACAATGATTTCAGAGATAGTTCTTTCCAAATCCCTTTGAAATATGGTATTAGCCAAAAAGTTTATAATTTTGAAACATGATTCCATCTTGTCCCTGATATCTGCTTTTCTGTATTCAAGTTAATTGTCTCTCTGTCCCAATTAGAGCTGGGACCATGCGCTCAGCAGAAAGACACAGAGCTGTCAAGTTAAGAGTGTTTTGTTTTTATTTAGATCAGCAGTTTGTCACTTGATAATATCTGGTATACCTCAAAGTCTCTGGACTCAGTCATTATGGTGTGAATGATGTCTCAAGTACATATGACTCAGACCCACAGTGAATATCCTGATGGCTTATGGAAGAGGGGCCTCTGAAAGAATTTATGTCAGGAATTGAATTTGGAACCAGGAAATGTCTCTCAAGTTACAGTTTTTCTTAATCTGAGAGGTAAGATTCTTGGTTGCCTGGAGACACCTTAGGGGCCCTGGATTTGAAACAGATACATTATCATACATGTCATTATCCTACTATACTTTGTATGGTTTACTGTTTAACACGAGATGACATCTAAACAACTTGTTTATACGAATCCCAACAAGGTCCCCCCAACTTGGCACCAAAATTCTGTTCTGTATTTAAGAAAAATATACTTTTAAAATACATTGATTAAAAGTTACGATGTGTTACTACATTTATGTTATGGATTAGCTCAAATTTTGGATAAAGACTTATCCAGATGTTTGTATGTGATTTTCACGGTAATAAAAGTGTTGTCATGCAATATCAATCATATTAAGTTTTGCTTTAAAATACTGAAGTCATTCCATAATCTTATGAAATATTAAAATCAAATATGTGAGGAGACTAAGAAGGATCTGCTTCATAAATTATGTCAGCTAATTTCAGGCTGGGGAATGAAGGTCCCAGTGCCATTATGGTGAGGAAAGGATGTGGTTCTTCACATTTATGAAGGAATTGTTTAGAATAACGATGCCAGTTTGCTCTGAGGTGTCCTAATAACCTCACATTCCCCAAATGACTATGGTTTGCCTCAAATATGCATAATTTGCGTGTTACTCAAGTTTCTTGGGTGCCACCAATTCATTAAGCAGCAGCCTTGACATGTACCTGCTCAGGTTGCCGGTGGGCTGGTCCAGAGCTTTCGAAAACAAAATTCCTGGTGACCCTGTCACTGCCTTCCTAAATCGAGGCCAGTCCATAGGACTGTCACTTTGCAGTGTAGCTGAGATTTCTTTAGGATTATTCCCTGAGAAGCAGCCTGTCCCCAACATAAGTAATCTGCTTCTCATACAAGAGAGTTCAGTAGTTTTCCTACATGAGACGGCCACGAGTTAGAGCAGATGAGAGAATACAAATGTGTAAGAGAACGCATCTGTCCAGCTGCTCTGCTGTGATCAACTCTTAGTTCTGAGAATTATTTTTATTTTCTGACTGCTTATTTCAATGTGTAGGAGTCTTCCTGGTAGACTATGTACAAGTCTTTCATTCATTTACTTAATTTTCTTTTCTCTACAGAGGGAGATACAAACGACAAAAATTCCTTATCCTACCATGGGGAAAACATTTGTGGCACAACAGAGAAGCCCCCTAAGTAAACAGAGAAGAGAATATCCAGCTTTCCAAAGGGCTTTTTGAAAGCTCTTTGTGCAAACATGCAACTTTCCAGCTTTTGCCTTATAAGCTTATTTCTTAACCAGTAGTTGTGCTTCTCAGTAGGATAATGGGCCTGATTTAAGGAAAAGCTCAAAATCCTAATCACAATAATGAAAAATGAAGTCGTGGCAACTGTAGTAAGTTTAAAGGCATACTTTGCTTTTCAAGGGCATCCTGTCTTTAAGTAGAGGTCTTTCATTTAGCTAAAGAAATTAAATTGAATCATTCTATCTTTAAGGAAATGATGAATTTAGTGAAGTGAAGAAAAGCTCAAACTCTAGCTAACATAATTTATGCAAAATCATGCAATTAGTGATAGCTGTGCTAGACATTTTTTCTCCAAATGCACCTCTAATAAAACCATCCTGAGTAGCAGTGCCATCTAATGTAAGTAGTAAACATGGATAGTAAATTATTAATATCTGGTGAGGCATGCAGATGGCAGGACTGCCATTTTTCCTTTGAGCTGCTTGTGCAGGTTTGTTATTCTTGCAAAAGAAAATGGCACAGATAAATATGAACTTTTCTTTGAAAAGTAACATTCAACAGGATATGAATTTAATAAATAGCACAAAGTGAGTAGTAAAAACCTGCACTTTCTGTCTCTGCAAAGCGAAATGATGGTTGCTTTCCACCCATCTGTAGCATAAGCTTAGTAAGGTTAAAGCATTTTCAAATATGTGCTACTCACTGGGAATGGCCCAGGTCAGGTGCTTTGGGTGGTATTTTTCAATCAAGTCCCCAGCGCTGTCACCTTGACCTTCCCCCACTGTCAAATGGGAAGGTAACCCCCTAGCAAGTCCTTGTCCAAGGGAAAACCTCCAAGCGCACCGACCTCGATCCTCTGCTCCTCTGAGCTGTAGTCTTGTGAAATAATCGCGTACGTTCCTAGCCAAGGCAGGGCTAGCCCAAAGTTCCTTCCCACTCTCCCCAGTTCACCTCGGGATGCTTCCGCAGAATTTAAGCGCCTAAGCAGACAAGGTCAAATTAAACTGCTACACCGACGCTTCTAGCTCGGGGGCCTGACCGGGCGTCCAGTCCCCCAGGCACCGACCTGCTGCAGCAGAAGGGTCCGGGCAGGAGCCCTGCTCTGTCGATGAGCCCATAGCACCCATTTTCTCCCCTATTTACTCAGAGGCGCCTCTCCTCCCCCACTCCTGGCATCCCCTTATTGCTGGCTCCATCTCCCTGTGGTATATTTTTGGGTAGTGGAATGCTGAGGTCACAGGGACAGGCTCTTGATCCCCGCGATGGAGACGCCGGCTAAGAACCCTGAGCATGAACCAGCAAGACGCAGACGCTCGCTCTTGACTTTGGGCTCGAGGCGCTGCCCGGCCCCGGGCCGGCCCGCGGGCTCCCTCCTCCCTCCTGTCCTCGCCGCCAGCCGGCCCGCTCATTCGGTCTGCAGCATTGGTTGGTTTCCCACGCCTGTCCACGTCTGACACGGAGTGCCAGGCATCCGGAAGCCACGCGGGCGCCGACCCCGGCCCGCAGCCCCGGGAAGGTGCCAACTCGAGCGAGCCCTGGCGCCACGGGAGGAGACGGGCATTTCACGTGGGCATCTGCCTTCGCTCCTGCTCGTGCCTCTCCTTCGCGGCCGGCGTCAGGGCCCCTCTGCTCGGACTTATTCCCCCAAAGTTAATCAGCCGTCCTTGCCAGTTCGCTTTAGTTTGAAAAATACTTAAAAATCTCGAAACGTTCCGGGGATACTGCTGCCCCCGGATCCCCAGCTCTGCCTGGCTAGGGCTGTCGGGCGCTCACGAGGCTGTGGCGTTTGTCTTGAACCGACATCGCAGACATGCAGCGCCGTTCCTCCCGGGCCGTCGCCAAAGTTGCCGGACGCCCCTGGGCGACCCGGCCGCGCCAGATGCAGTTGCATAACCTCGCCCCCCACCCCGGCCCGCCGCCCGGTCCTCTCCTGTCTGCACCGGCGCGTCCTGGCCCCGGGAGCCGCCGAGTCCCCGGCGAAGCCCGTTTGGGGGCGAGTGCGAGCGCCCGAACCGGGGTCGGCGCCCGTCCGGGCGGTGCTCTGCCCGCGGCCAAGTGCAGCGGGTGGCGGGGCGCGGGAGGAGGGCGCGCGGAGCTCCGCTTACCTTCCGCTGCTTACAGATAAGTCGAGGTCGGTGCAGCGCCTGGCTCGAGCATGTCTCGCCGCGGACCCGGGCAAGCCTGGCGCGGCACGGAGCACTCCGGACAGGGCATCCGCGGCGAGGGGCGCCGGGCTCGCGCGGAGGAAGGCTCGGCTCCGGGGACTTGGCCGGCTGCGT